ACTAGGCCACTGTGGCATCCGCTTGTACGCGATTGAGTTCCTGATCAATATCGCCACACCACCCGCGCGGCGGCCGGCTCTGTCAGAGCGTTCACAGGAGAAGTTTTTCACCACGAAACGATCTTCATCCCCCAGCCATGTTTCCACGACTACGGCGATGTCGATCCTCTCGTGATGAAGAAAATGGATGAGCTCACCTACTTTACCGTTGAGGCTATTAGCGTTCCATTCTGCTATCCTGAACGCGACCTACATTAAATTGTTTAATATCAGTCAAGAAAAATTGACGGCTGGCGTTGAACAACTCCATATCGCTGTTGCATCTTTCCAGCATACCTATGTAATGGTCCAATGCTCGCATCATACCATCCATATTTATTAGCGAATCCAGGCGGGCAAACTTGGCCTGGAACGCTGCGAAAGTGTCACCCAGATTGACAGGTGCTTGTTGGGCTGACCGTACTGTGGGCTGGGCGCTTTGCGGAACACTAGATAGATTTTCGCGCACAACCGTCGTGGTATCCCGCACTCCACGTTCTCGGATTAAACCTCGCGGAAAGTCACGATTGTAGTCCATCATCGGTGGTGGCTGTCTCGGTATCTGTGCTGGTGGCTGCACCTCCCTTCGACCCCAGGCTGGGTTTCTTGGTAACGGGGCAGGAACATAGGTGGGCTTGGGTGCCGATCTCTCCTCTAGCATGCGTTTCTTAAATTTATACACCGGGCATTCCATTGACATAGCCTGGTGTGCACCCTTACAGTTTACGCACACTGACTGCTTATCGCGATTCGAGCAGTCAGCAGTCATGTGCGCTTCTGCGCATTTAGAGCATCGGCTCGCCCTATGACATCCCGTCATAGTGTGCCCCCATATCTGACACCGGGCACACTGCGAGATGTCTTTTCTGTTTCTCCTGTCTTCCCATTGTACCCTGGATGCGAACACTGTGCGAACGTGGGTTGTGAGCTTTGTCAGTGTCCATTCAGATGACGTGACAACCAGGTACAATGGGTTGTCCTGCCCCGTATTTTTCATTTGGTACACATCTTTGACTTTGATGTTGTACCTGTCTATCAGGTATTCTTTTATCTCTTGGGTGCTATAGTTTCCCTTCATCCTCCGCATCACGAAAGCATGCGTTTTTTCTGATGGCACTGAGTATGTGTGGAACTCAGCGCCATCGTTGTTTAGATGTCTCGACATGCTTTCGTGATCGGCCATACTCTTCGGGTATAGTATGACCGAGTTGCGTGCATATTTTATCTCGAGAGGCTCTGATGTGATTCGTCCTGCCATCTCGAGAAATTCTTTGTGGTTATTAAGTCTTCCTTTGACCACGATTGGAGGAGGAAGGGCTTTTTTGCCTTTGGTTGTGCCTGCTGGTTTGTGAAGGGGGGTGTCCGCCACCTTGTTCCGGATTTCCTCTTGGGAACGGTTGAGGGGTGTGAGTTCTGGCTCGGGCTCGGGCTCGGGCTCTTTTTCCTTTGGTTCAAGAACCTGGAACCTATTTTTGGTGGGTATTTGGAATAGCTTTCCGAAGCCCGTCGCCTTGATAACTGTTGGAGGTGTTGCAGCTGGTGTTGAGGTTACAGCTGAAGCTGAGGTGGAGGGTGCCTCAGCATCATCTTGGAGGGGTGTAGGAGGTCGTAGGGGTGGTTGGGCAAATTCGTGCCCTTCTGTTGACTTTTTCTTGACCCTCTGGTCGGGGCTTGTCTCCATAGGCCTTTTGTTTTGCCGTTGTTTGGCCGATTTGGGCACTACGTAGAGGTGATTACGTCTGATATGCGAGATGATCAAATCGACCATGGCACTTCCCTCTTCTGAGTGCGAGTCCAGGTAGTTGTAGTGTTTAGTACAATCTTTGCATCCTCCTGCATGTATCAGGAGTCTGCTTTTAACCTTGTCGACGCCCCTTATGGACTCTCTACTGGATGTTGTCGACGAGAAGCTCCTCACGCTCTCGTTATCCGATTCGTCTCCCATCGTGGGATCCCCTCCTGGGGTATCCCCTCCTGGGGTATCCCCGTTTTTTGGGACGTCCCCTTACTTGTTTGGGAGCGTCCACTGTGCTTGGACGTTCCCTTACCTTTAATTTTAGTCCCCTCCCCATCCAATCTCCATCCCGACACCACGTTGCTTGGCTTTAGTAGGCCGTCTCTCACGTCCTTGATAAAGAACCAACGTGCCGGTCCAAAAAAACAGCCCCTTGCTCCTCATACGGAAAATGTCAGTTTAAAATCGACGAACAATAGCTGTGCGCGCTACTCGATACTGTGTGTGTGAGCCCTGTGTGCAAGGCCTTGCGAGCCATCACTTCAATTGTAAGTTCTGTGGGATTATAGCCCCGTGTGCTGTAAACCTAAAAACCCTGTGAGTCTGCCTTGAGTGCCTGTAGCCCTGTGTGTCACGGTAACCTTGCGTGTTACGAACGTCATAGTCCTGTGTGCTATGGAGGGAGCCGATGTTTTTAAAAATAAAAAGTAATACCTATAAAACCTAATATTGTTTAATTCCTAACGGTGTGTTCAACACTATTGAGAATTATTAGATCTATTGAGAACATGGAAAAATACATTCCTTGCTAGATTTTTTCAAATTATTCAATTATTTTGCGAAGTTCTCGGATTTGTTCTGGATGGATAAATTAGAGAAAAAAGTTCTGCCCAGGTATTTAAATTGCACAACCCCATCCCTGTTTCTGGTACCAATAATTATAAAAACATTTTATGATCATCATTTGATGTGAAAAAAATGTGATTTAAGCACATATATAGTGTTGCGTTCTTTATAGAAGACTGCAATTATGTTTAATCAGTGGACAAGCTACTTCTACTATACATGGTGATTTACGTATTCCGTGCATTAGATTTCAGGGTGGATTAGATGCTTTTTTTATATCTAATAATTCATCTGAAATCTGGAATATTTCTAATGCAAGGGCTACGTAAATGACGGTGTATATGTATGTATGAACTGTTATTGTATTCATAAAGAATTATTGTATTGTATTGCAATATCCGAAACTATCAAATACGACTGACAAATAAAAATGCATGATATTTTCAAAAAACTAAATCTTAAGGTTTAAAGTCAGGCCTATTGTTTATTGCAGCAACGCGAGATGTCAGTACTGTCGCCCCTAACTTGATAGTCAAAAAAAAATAGAAATCTGCATTTGGTTAAATTGTGTGATGGAAAGTTTTTTCTTTTTTTTGCGGAAATTCGAATTATTATTCTGTTTTACATAAACAGGGTTGTAGTTTGGACCAACACAAATAATTTTGAACGTTCATCCGTCGGATTTATTTTTAAACAGTGTAGCTACAGGCGTATTTCCAACTATTCTTGCAATAGCGAGAAAACTACAAGTTCAAAAAATTTGAAAAAAATATATGTCGCGTAGAATTGCAATAGTAGTTCGTAATAAAAATAACGGGAAACTTCATCTCTTCGTTTTGAAATAAATGGTGAAAAACCATTTTTTTTTCAGTTTTTGCGATATAACTCAAAAATGGCGAGTCAAATTTGCTTAAAAAAATTATGGATTAAAGTATATCAATAACCATAAAACATATATTTTTTTTTGGAATTTTTGAACACAAGGTTCAGAAAATGGAGGTTGACTTTAAACCTTAAGCACTTAAATAATTCAGTCAAAATTGAGTGTAGCCTTTTTTCAGGGACTTGAAAACCTCCAATTTGCTTCTATCTCACAAAGGCATACTGAAAGTTGGCGATTTTGGTTTGGCCAGAGAATACGGTTCTCCTTTAAAGGCCTACACTCCTATAGTGGTCACTTTATGGTATAGGGCTCCAGAACTACTTCTATGTATCAAAGAATATTCGACTCCAATAGATGTGTGGTCAGTGGGATGTATTTTTGCTGAATTATTATTGATGAACGCTTTGTTTCCTGGAAAATCAGAGGTTGACCAATTGAATCGTATATTCAAGGTATTATTGAATTTGTAACAATTGTTTTTTCTTTTCATTTTTTTAATTTTTAAGGAACTAGGCACTCCAAGTGAAAAAATCTGGAAAGGCTTCAACAATTTACCCGCAGTGAAAAAAATGAAGTTTAACGAATATCCTGTGTCTAATTTACGGGCCAAATTCAACACCCTAAGTGAAACTGGTTTAGGATTATTATTAAAGTTCCTAACCTATGATCCAAATATACGAGTAACCGCGGAAGACGCCCTGAATCATGCCTACTTCACTGAACCACCTTTACCAATTGATCCAGCAATGTTCCCTACTTGGCCAGCTAAGAGCGAACTTGGACATAAGAGGGCATTGGCTGCTAGTC